CCCCATGTTGGGCTCTGTGCTGACAGAATGGGGACTGCTTGGGATTCTCTCCCTCTCTCTGCCCCTCCCCCACTCACTATCTAAAAACAAACAAACAAACATCATCTCAATGTTAGCAATGACAATTAATCTTTTTGAGTCCTTACCATTTGCCAGATAGTGTTCTAGGCTCTTTACAAAGAAAACCTTCAACCCTTAAAATAACCATATGTAATCTCATTAGTATTGTTATTCCCATTTTACAGAAGAACGAACTGAGACTCAATGAGTTTAAGAAACTTGTCACAAATCTAGGAAGGGTCAAAGTCAGGATTTGAATCTAGAAAAACTGACACAAAACCCCAGGGAGACGTATTAGCTCTTCAGTGCCGGCACTGGCATACAGTAAGTGCTCAAAAATGTTAGGTATTATTATAGTTTAAATGCCATGAGTTAAGAACTCAGAAATTTTTCTGGTGTGGCCACTCTGGAAAACAGTATGGAGGTTCCTCAAAAAGTTAGAACCAGAACGACCCTAAGATCCAGCAATTACACTACTAGGTATTTACCCAAAGAATACAAAAATACTAATTCAAAAGGATACATGCACCCCGATATTTATAGCAGCATCATCTACAATAGCCGAATTATGGAAATAGCGCCAACTATCAATTGATGAATGGATAAAGATGTGGTATGTGAATATCTACAATGGAATATTCCTCAGCCATAAAAAAGAGTGAAATGTTGCCATTTGCAAGGCTGTGGATGGAGCTGGAATATTATGTTAAGTGAAGTAAGTCAACCAGAGAAAGAAGACAAATACCGTATGATTTCACTCATATGTGGAATTTAAGAAAGAAAACAAATGAGCAAAGAGGAAGAAAAGGGGGAAAGGGGCAAACACCAAGAAACACACTCAACTATAGAGAACAAACTGACAGTTACCAGAAGGGAGGTGGGTGAGAAGATGGGTGAAGTAAGTGATGGGGATTAAAAAGTGCATTTGCTGTGATGAGCACAGGGTGATGTACAGACGTGCTGAATCACTATTGTACACCTGAAACTAATATTATGCTGTATGTTAACTGACTGGAATTTATATAAAACCTTTAAAAAAAAAGAACTCAGAATTTTAAATCTGTAATATACTCAAGAAAAAAAATAGTTAAACAAGATAAGGTAATTGGAGAAAAACCATAAATGCTTAATCTTTTTGATTTCCCAATTTTTTTCAGTCTAAGGAAACAGAAGTTTCAACAACTGCACTTAATTGCAAGCAGAATAAAAATGAGAGTAATTTAGTTAACTATACTGGAATTAAAAAGATTTTTTTTAAATGAGAGTAATTTAGGCTGACAACATTATACAAAATAACACATTTTTGAAATGTGCAAAATAAGGATGAGAGGATCTGAATAATATATACATTAAATAGTAATAATTCAGGGCCTGGGAACAATAATCCATTTAGTAGCAATATCCACACACTACAATCAGATCTTGGTTTCATTAAAATACCCTTTTCCACTAAACAAAATAGGACTATTTGCAGAAAAAGCTCAGTCCATGGTTGAAGCAATGTAAGATGAGCTAGGAACATCTTACTGAGACCTCAATGTGCTTAAAATATATGCTTAAAGACTCATGGAAACATTAAAAAAAAATTTTTTTTAATATTTATTTTTGAGAGAGAGATAGAGCACAAGTGTGGGAGGGGCAGAGAGAAAGAGAAGGAGACACAGAATCTGAATCAGGCTCCACACTCTGAGTTGTTCCCACAGAGCCCAATGCGGGGCTGGAACCCACAGGCTGTCAGTTCATGACCTGAGTCAAAGTCAGATGCTTAATCGACTGAGACACCCAGGTGGCCTTCATGGGAATATCTTTATTTATTTATTTATTTATTTGTTTGTTTGTTTGTTTGTTTGTTTAATGTTTATTTCTGAGAAAGAGTGAGGGGGAGAGACACAGAGAGAGCGAGCGAGAGCGCGCATGAGAGTGTGTGCGCATGAGCAGGGGAGAGGCAGAGAGAAGGGGGACAGAATCCGAAGCAGACTCCAGGCTCCGAGGTGTCAGCAGAGCTCAACGTGGGGCTTGAACTCACGAACCGTGAGATCATGACCTGAGCCAAAGACAGATGCTTAACCGAATGAGCCACCCAGGTGACCCCATGGAAACATTTTTAAAAGACAGTTTGAAGGAGCTGTCACTGGGCCAAAACTAGGATAAGGTGCTGTCAAAATAACCAATGTTTGTAATAGATTATTACCTAGTGAATAAAGTAAGAATCCATGAATCAATATGAACCCAAAGAAGTCAACAAGGGAGAAGAAAAAGTTCTCCTTTACAGTGAAACCTTGGCTCATAAATATTGAAGGAATGTTGGAATTAGAAAATCAGCAATGAATACTTAAACTGAGCGAAAGTTTATAGTAAAGAATAGGGCATTACATGCTATCAAAAAATCTCCCCAGAAATTATTAAAAATTTTTTTAATGTTTATTTTTGAGACAGAGACAGATAGAGCATGAATGGGGGGAGGGGCAGAGAGAGGAGTCACAGAATCTGAAGCAGGCTCCAGGCTCTGAGCTGTCGGCACAGAGCCCGACACAGGGCTTGAACTCACTGACCATAAGATCGTGACCCGAGATGAAGTCGGAGACTCAACCGACTGAGCCACCCAGGTGCCCCTGCCAAAAAAAATTTTTTTAAGTTTATTTATTTTGAGAGAGACCAAGATAGCGCAAGTGGGAAGGGGTAGAAAGAGAGAGGGAGAGAGATAATCTCAGGCAGGCTTCCGGCTGCCAGCACAGAGCTTGATGTGGGGCTTGAACTCACGAAACCCTGAGATCGTGACCTGAGCTGAAACCAAGAGTCAGATGCTTCACTGACTGAGCCACTCCAGCACCTCTCCCCACAAATTATTTATTAACTCCAAGAGGAAAAAGAAGTAACTTTACTGTGGAAAAACCTGGAAGACACCATTTTAATCAAGTGATCAAAGTTAACACCATCAATATGGAAACAAATCGACATCATGTGCCTTGGAGAGAATGCACTAAGAACACATTACTTTAGTGGTAATCCTGCCTAAATACATGATTTGAATCTAATCACAAGGATACATCAGATAAACCCAAAGTGAGGTACATTCTACAAAACAACTAGCCTATATTCTTCAAAATTGTCATAGTCAAGAAAAAGAAAGGTTAACGGACTATCTCAGATGGTAAGAGTCTAAATAGAAATGGCAACAAAACTCGATGGATGACCCTGAATTGGATCCTGGACCATGAAAATAGCTATAAACGATCTTACTGAGACAACTGTTGAGATGTGACTATGGGCTGTGTAGCTGATATTGCACCAGTGTTTAATATCCTGATAACTGCATTGTGTTATGTAAGACATTGTTCCTATAATAAGGAACTATATGATATCTCCAACTTACTTTCAAACAATGCAGGAAAAAATGTGGAATTATGAAGTAAGTAGGGCAAAATGGTTTATCTAAGTGTATATAGGAATTTCTTTTCCTCTTCTTACCAATGTTTCTATAAGGCTGAAATTTTAGAAAATTATTTAAAAATTAAACATTACTAAAAATCCAAAAAGATAGATGGGTATTTTATATATTTAAGGTAAAAAAAAATTACTCCCCACTGTAACCCTCTATTTTTTACCCTTCCTCGAATTGTGCATAATGATCTGAATATTTTTTTAACCAGTATTTGAATATAGTCAATCCTCTTTTTTTAAAAAAAAAATTTTTTTTAAACACTTATTTTTGAGAGACAGAGAGAGACAGACCACAAGCCGGGATGGACACAGAGAGGGAAACACAGAAGCTGAAGCAGGCTCCAGGCTCCGAGCTGTCAGCACAGACTCCGACGTGGGGCTTGAACTCACGAACTGTGAGATCATGACCTGAGCCAAAGTCGGACGCTTAACCGACTGAGCCACTCAGGTGCCCCAGGATCTGAATATTTTAAAAATGCACAGGAAATAAACTTTTGTTTATTTTTATTTTTTTAATTTTTTTTTTTTAACGTTTATTCATTTTTGAGACAGAGAGAGACAGAGCGTGAATAGGGGAAGGTCAGAGAGAGAAGGAGACACAGAATCTGAAACAGGCTCCAGGCTCTGAGCTGTCAGCACAGAGCCCGACGTGGGGCTTGAACTCACAGACCGCGAGATCATGATCTGACCCAAAGTCAGACACCCAACTGACTGAGCCACCCAGGCGCCCCAATAAACTTTTGTTTAAACATACTGTTTAGAGAGCAAATCCTTCCATTCAATAATAAAAATAACAGGAGAATCATGGCTATATCTAATTTGAAATATCTGCCTTAATGGTTGTCTTAAACTGTTAGAGTAATGGAGGAACTGAACTGGTTAATGTTTAGTAGTGCTCTACCCAACAAAGCCAGAAAAAGATATTCAACAGGCTGCAACACATAATCATATGTACAACTTCTTCCCCTACCAAGATATGAACTACTACTTCATGAAGCAAGATCATAACTACAAATTTTGGGCCTCCTAAATATATAACAAGAAGGACCAAAAAGGACCTCAAAGAAACACTGTTAATTTCTCTATCAGTATTATAAAGTCCATGTGGTTCATTTTGATTAGTTTAGGTAGCACACAGAGCAGAAAACAAAACATTATTCCTCAAAGGGTGCTAAAGCAATCCATAAGCCAAAAGCTTCAGTTAGGATTCATTCTTTGGCATGTGACATGAGAGGAAATGCATTTCTGAAAGAAGAAAGCACTCTATCATCATGAAAGATGTGTCGTTACTTACAAAATGGTAGAGATGTCCAAAGGAGGAAAAATAAAACAAGCAAAAACACCTCATTTCAAGTGAACCAACCTTCTATAACCCAAACCAAGCAAGTTCATTGAGCTAAATCTGCAGACACTCTTGTTTTAAAGGCTAACAGACTGTGGACATAAAAAGAAAGCTTGAGTAGGAAAAGATCAAGAACTGGTGTAAAGCTAAAGCAGACCTGCTTCCTCATCCTCCTCCTCCTCTTCCTCATCATCGGAAGTTGATGACAAGGGAGTTGGTGCGGAGCTAGCTTGATTATTAACATAGTCACCATACTGCATGCCTGTAAAGTGGAAAGCACAAACACAAGAGTCAAACCAACAGGAAAGATGAGAAATAAAATTTTGACATTGCATCAAAAGTGAGAAAGAACTCTGACATTCTAAAGAACATCCCAGCATGCATTTTAATGTTAGCAAACTTATTATCAAAACTGGAACCATTAGAAAATCTCTGCAAAGCAGTTTAGTAAAAGCAGCTTTTATAATAACTGGTTTAAGTGTGAAAGACGTACCACGTATTACGCTGATAATATTTAGGAAACTGCAGTGACACTCTGAAAATTTAACTGAGCTCCATACATGTTTACCTTCATTGACCTTGGGGCCCTTGTGGCATACATCCTTTGGGACTGCGCATTCTTGGTGAGCAGTGATCATTTCTACTCAAATGAATTTATACAGCATTCAACACACATACAAATACTTGATACCTTCCTTCTGTTAATGCCACCTTGATGGTAACTCAGTTCTCGTAACGGAAAAAGAATGACAGTTAAAGAACTGTATTCAGAATAGTTCTCTGCTCACAGATGCTCAAAAAAAAAAAAAAAAAAAAAAAAAAAAAAAAAAAAAAAAGAGCTAATTACCTGTGGTCCTACAAGTGTGACAATTACAAAACAGTGAATTTTCTGAGATGGCCAATCATCTCAGCTTCAGCCTATTGCCTACATGTAAGTCTGAGGTAGGTGGATAAGACTGGTCTTGTAAGACACACCAAGAAGAAAGATTCTGTGGAAAAGGCACAGCGGGTTTAACTATATAACTCTTCTCCCCCTCTCCCCAAAACAGTGACTGGGTAGTTTTTATAATTTAATTAATGTGGTAAAATTAGACTAACATCCACAAAATTTTAAGAGGGAAAATAAAATAATCCCAATTAAAAATACAAAAATAAAAAATAATATCCTTGTAAAGAAAATCTTATAGCTCAACTTGAAAAAAAGATTAAAAAAAAATGACACCGAAACACAGCGTGGATATTTAAGAACACTTCACAATATTGGAAGCACAATGAAGCGATGCCTCATCAAACTCACATGGTAGTCCCCTGACGCTTGCTGTCTTTTTTCTTTCAGGTGACCTTTTAAATTAGCACGTTATGAAATATGGCCCTTTGTAGCAATGTGGATGGAACTGGAGAGTGTGATACTAAGTGAAATAAGCCATACAGAGAAAGACAGATACCATATGGTTTCACTCTTATGTGGATCTTGAGAAACTTAACAGAAACCCATGGGGGAGGGGAAGAAAAAAAAAAAGAGGTTAGAGTGGGAGAGAGCCAAAGCATAAAAGACTCTTAAAAACTGAGAACAAACTGAGGGTTGATGGGGGGTGGGAGGGAGGGGAGGGTGGGTGATGGGTATTGAGGAGGGCACCTTTTGGGATGAGCACGGGGTGTTCTATGGAAACCAATTTGACAATAAATTTCATATATTGAAAAAAAAATAAATTAGCACGTTATGTTAATAAACATAACTCATGGCTATCATAGGAAAAATGCTATTAAAGAGAAAAATCTGAGTTCAGAAGAGAGCAAAGGTTAAACTGCAGATGAGTGAAGCTCTGATCTTCTCACTGGGACCAAAGAAGTCAGAGAAAAATCTGCTGGCTTTGCTGAAACATCTTTTAAATATAGATAAACAGTAGTTATTACAAACTTATCTGAGCAATCAACTTGACACCCTGAAAGACCAAATTCAGAGTGGCCTGTTCCTCTAACAAAACCTATTTAAAATGAAAATTTGACTAATATTAGACCTTAGGTTAAATATACTAAGAAGTCTGCAATAAAACACAAGTTAACAGTAAAAAGATAGTACAGAAAATAAATTCTTCAATTTAATAAGAACTTCTTTAAAAATGAAGTACTTTCTCAAAATGCAATTAGCATTGCACTTTAAAAAGTATATACATGTGTATACAATAAGAAGAAACAAGAGAAAAAAGAAAATCCGTTTACTGCGCTAAGACAGGCCACTAAGCAGGAAAAAATCAGAAGAGAATCCATTCTTTTCATGACTGAATCAATATGCAGGATGTTGACTCTGTAACTAATCAAAAAAGCCAAAATAAAGCACAAACCTATATGCATGATAAAACATTTTCCTCTCTTTGTCTAGATTTACTGAATTAACAGATTCACTTATTACTGGAAAAATATGCAGTGCTTAATTGGAAACAAATGAGAAGACTATACGATTAAAAAAAAAATCTAAAGAACTACTTAATGAACTGGAACAAACCTATGAATAAGACAAAATAGAGTAATGTATCATTTTAGGTTATACTATGGCTGTCAATGTACCGTATTAACAGAATGTCACACAAAATACTCAAATTTTTACTTTCTCAAAAAAGGATGCAGTCCTTTTTGAGAAATTCTAGAGATGACAGTGTCAAGATTTGAGTCCTTCCCCAACTATGACTCTTACTATGCTCAGAATTTAGCATTCCTTTGCTTGTCCAAGTAAACTTTGTTTAAAGCTTGAGAATATTAATGGCACAAGAATATGATATTTTTGTGACTCCACAGAGAAATGGTAAGAGTTCTGGAATAACAATCAACCCTTATTTAAAGCCCTGCTCTAGGCTGGGTACAGTTCATACAAACTGCAACAAATGGAGAGTTACAGCCAAAAGGGGGTTGACAGCCAAGTCATCTACGATATGTGCAAACTTCCTGAGTGCCTTTATTCAGACCTCCTTTAAGAGCCAGAACCTATGCATAAGATACTCAGGTTGCATATAGGAGGTGGTAGAACGTAAGGTCTTCTAGAGCTCAGCCTGAAAGCCACTGTAGAGATGTACATGGAGTACCTTCCACTCCAACAACCGCCACCTCCATCTCCACCTGCGCCAAATGGGGCAGGAATGCTACATCCCAACTTACTGTTTTACTTAGAACTTTCAAGGTATGAATCTTAGTAAACCAAGAGGCAAGACACACTTCATAGATAGAATCTGACACGATGAAGAGCTTTGTTACCAACAGGGCCCCAATATCTTAAAAAGGACATTCAGTTTAAACTACCTACCACATTAAAGTACCTTCAGGCAAACTCTCCAAGAGACTGTATCCTTGGAGCTGCTTAATAAAGGGCATCTTCACTGTTCCCTGGATACAGCTACACTGGGAATAAATAAAATTAGTCTGAAGAGAACAAATCCCTTGTGGAAGCTAGCTTTTTTAAATTCAAGAGTTCAGACTTTTGAGCGGCTGTTATCTTTCTTTAAGCTGGTCTTCAAACTACATATGCATACTCTAAAACTTTCCAAGAGTTCCTGCAAAATAATGGCTTTAAGAGAATCAGTTTCCATGGTAGTCTTTCTAAAACTTACCCACCTTAGAAAGTGCCTGTGTTAACAGCCATTGTCTCACTTTACAAAGGGAACACATACCCTTAACTTCTCCTAAATCTTACATTGCCCTGAGATATAAAAATGTCTCTGGGACTAAAGGGAAAGCTTCTTCCTTCTTTAAATGATTAATCAAGGCACCTTCAATCTACAGACTTTCTTTTATCTTGCCATACATGTTTCGGTTAAAGACGAAAGATGTTAGAAATAGGGCTGGGGCTCACTGGAATATTCTTAATTCAAAAATAGTGAAAAGTAAATTGGTGGGAGTAATTATGAATTTATTTAATAATTCTGCACATGTGCAGCTCACAAGCACTACTGCCAAAGAACCCACTGCTTTTGAAAGAGTACCATGAGGACAAAGCAAAACCAGTAAGAAATACTGAAGAGACAAGCAGCAGAACACTGAATAAAGATAGGGGCTCTGGGTTCAATTCTATGTTCTATCAATTACCAGCTGTGTTTCCCTGGGCAAATTACTAACCTCTCTGGTTTTCATTTACATCATCTGTAAAGGGGGTAAGAACTACCTCAGATAGTGGTTGTTGTGAGGATTAAGTGAATTAATATATTTCAAAGCTTAGAATGATGCCTGAAATATACTAAATACTATATAATTATTAGCTATTATTATTATTGAACTTTAAAAAACATGTTTTTGTGTATATTTAATTAAAAACAATTATTTTCAGCTATTCTTAATATTTATCCCGACAGGGGACAGAACAAGTCATTACGAAAAATAAACTTCCACCAATCTGAAGAGTATTCTTAGCCATGTTAATTCTTTTAAAAACAAGTAGAATGTTTTCTAGGATGACCAATTTTTTTTCAAGATATACTGGATAAAACTCATAGATAAAAATTTTACATAATTTCTTTCAAAGTCAACATGAAATATTCAATAAAGTATTTTACAACCTATTTTATCATAAAATATTTATGATTATAATCACTTCTCACCTCCTTATATTTTATACAATATTTAGTTATTTCTACCTCCTTTTAACAATAACAAAAATATTTACTAGTGGGTAAATCTGTTAGTACTTAGTGGTATATGTTTTTCTTTTTTCAATTAATTACATGGGAACATTGTTTTTAATGTTTATTTTTGAGAAAGAGAAAGAAGGGGAGAGACAGAGAGAGCACGGGGGAGGGACAGAGAGAGAGGGAGAGAGAGGATCCCAAGCAGGATCTGAGCTGTCAGAACAGAGCATGACATGGGTCTCGAATTCACAAACTGTGAAATCATGACCTGAGCCGAAATCGAGTCAGGTACCAACTGAGACACCCAGGCACTCCAACATGAGAACATTTTAATCATGATGCCTGATTAAATAACAGAATTACTTTTCATTTTTATACTTGATTCCTATTTAAATATTTTAAAGACGCCAAATACCAGAGTTTGATACACATAACGCGTATATTTACTATAGGAATACAATGGTTTTCAAGAAAATCCTCATTCTTAAATAGTGTAATATCAGATAGATGTTACACTCCTTTATTTCAAATTTGGTAATGAAAAACAGCTTATCAACTCATTGCCTAATTTTTATAATCTACCATAAAAAAGGATACATTAATCATATTTGGTCTTTGACATTTAAATTTGACTGCTTTTAGTAATTTGGCTTAGAAGATATATGCTATAATTTATTTCTCAGTGGAGTTTATGATACCCCTTTTAAACTCCAGGAACACATTCCCTTGGATTAAAAAAATTAAGTCACATTTTCTGGCAAAGAATGAAATTTGTCTCACTGGTTTGAAAATGAGGACTGCCTTTGCCAATTAGGTTATATGGTGATGCCATATATAAAACAAATGACCTACATTACAGTTTAAAGTTTTTGATAAAAACTCATTTAAAGGATGTGATGAGATGTTATATTGGCAAAAGTATAATGAAATTCACAATACTCTGAATAATTGGTGATTCAGCAAAACAAGGATTGGGTTTGGAGCCAGAGGACCTACATGGGGTCTTGGCACCCCCTACCTAGAGAGTTTGTGTCTTTGGGGAACACACCTAAACCTTTCTAACCTTCAATTTTTCCTTTTATAAAAGGAAGATGAAATATGATATGCCTGCTTTACCTGATGATTGAGTGAGGTGATAAAAATTAAAGGTATTTTAAAATTATAAACTGCTGGGGCGCCTGGGTGGCTCACTCAGTTGAGCGTCCTACTTCGGCTCAGGTCACGATCTCACGGTCCGTGAGTTTGAGCCCCGCATCGGGCTCTGTGCTGACTGCTCAGAGCCTGGAGCCTGTTTCACATTCTGTGTCTCCCTCTCTCTCTGCCCCTCCCCCGTTCATGCTCTGTCTCTATCTCAAAAATAAATAAACGTTAAAAAAAAAAATTATAAACTGCTACATGAAAGTAATAATGGTACTATCTATCTACAAGCTGGAAAATAAAGTCTAACAAACAACAATAAAAATTCTGACATGTAACCCAGAAGATTAAAAACGTTAAAAAAGTCTAAAGAAAACCACTACTTTAATAAAAGCCTTCCAATACCATTCCTATCTTCTTTACATGAAAAAATTTCTTAGCAATTGTATGTGTGAAGATAAAAACTATGAATGAAATTTATCTTAAGTTTATCTTATTCTAATAATGAGTCATACAAGTCAGGTACACAAAGCTATGATGGGGGTGGGGGAGAGTCATTCATTTCACTGAAAGATGTATTTCCATTCAAAATGTACTTTCCATAAAAAAAATACCCAAATTCATAATTTTTATGTTATTTTGACCAACTATATACTAATAATTATCTTGATAGTTCAATCAAGAATAAAAAAAAGTTAATGCTTAGACATGTACGATCATAAAGCAAAATTTAAATTTCATTTTATATAATATTACTATGGCAAAGAACTATGATAGAATGATAAAAGAGTTTCTAGCTTAAGAATATATTATTATATATATTAATATATATAAAATGATCATATTATATTCAGGGGGAAAGAGTATGACATTAAGGAGAAAAAGAAAAAAATGTAAACTTTCCAAATGTTAAAGAAGGGCTCATTTAGGCATTTTTAAAAAGGATGACAGTAGGTATCATTCTAGTGGATACAAAGAATAATATAACCTCTTTGATTTAAAAGTCAATGTATGCAATATGTTGAAATTACATAACTGCAACTATTTAAACTTTTGGTGAAAATTTTAGCCGTCAATCTGACCAATGTCCAGGTAGTTATAGAGTTTTTACAAAAACTTTTTAGGAGGTATGCAAACCAAAATTTGCAGCCTCCTATCTTAAAACCAGTACAAGAATGTGTAGTCCTTCTGAGAACAACAAAGCAAGAGTATCTCTGAAGCTAGGAGAAAAATATTAAAATCTCTTTGAAGTATTAATATTTTAGTAGTCATATCAGAACCACAGCATAGCCTGTGCAGCCCACATACCATCCAACTACAACAGGCACCATTCACATAAACCATAACTTGCACAACACACGTGGTAGCCCTACCTCACATGATATATTGTACACTGCACATCTATCCAAAGGTCACTAAGGAGCCAATCTCCCACTTAAAAAAAAAAAGGAACAAAAAAACTACAATTCAAATGTTTCTAGTATTCTCTTTTCTGTTACTTATTCAAGGAGCTTCTCTTAGGTAAATCAAGAGCTTGTTAACAGCCTACAAAACAATTCACCTTATTTTACAGAAAGATAAAGTTTCAGTTAAAAATCTTTCACTCTGCTACTCGGGCAGAGTAATTTATAATCTTGGGCAAACTCCCTAATCTTTCTGAATCTCACTGTTCTCATCTGTAAAACAGGGATATTATAGGATGATAATGGGGGTTAAGTAAGATAAAAGTATCTGGCACACTGTAAGTGCTCAATAAATGGTAGCCCCTCTTTTCAAACCTATTTTATTAAATCTATCTTATTAGTAAGAAAAACACATAATTAGGATTATTTTGTAGGGATGTGGTTTACAAAATGATACTTAAAATGGCAGGATGGTACTTAAAGTAAAATGCTAACAAAGAAAATATAATAGAAAAAAAGATACCAGCAGGGGCAATGTAAAGGGTCAAAACAAGCAAGATATTTAAGAAATGGAAGGCAGTCATCAATGCCGAGGAAAGATACCATTCATTTAGTCAGGGGTTCGACCTACTCTTAAATTTGTTCTACTCATGATAAGCAAACATTTCCTACCAGTCCTTCATTTTAAAGGCAAACACTTATAAAAAACTAGATTTTATTCCCAATATACCCACTGGCTTCTTGGGAATCCATGGACACTCCATGGTGCTGCAGGTGGTTTTCCTATAAAGCCAAATAAGAACATTTTTAATGTAGAATCTGATTAAATGATAGAAAGTCCTCTTGACCACATACTCAACAGATTAGTTGCGAGATCAACCTAAGATGCTTTTTTTGAGATTCAGAACGTAAGAGAGAAAAATGAAAGAGAATTCTTCATATTCAAGGTAAGAAGCTGTCATTATACAGTAAGCATAGTCTCTAAAATATTACTAATGGTTGCTCTGGAAATACAAACTATAGATTCCTAAAAATAGTTCAGTTATTTCTCATCAAATGAAAAACACAGTACATCAACCTGAAACATCAATAGATTTGGAGTTTCAGCCAGGTAGAAAATAACCAAGAATACTGCCAAAAGAAAAGGCAACGTAGGGAAGGAGGGTCAAAACAACACCTTTTAGTTACCTGTCACTTATTTAACACATAGAGAATATTCAACAAGCAAACGAATAAACCATATTGTTTGTCAGTGCTGCAAGGTATGGGTTACATGGGTATGGGTTACAATTTAATTTTCACCCCTCTCAGTACCAAAGGTGGCTCAAAAGTTACTTTCATTAATAATAATGACAAATAGAGAAAACATCAAATAGGATATGGAGAGTCACTAAACTAAAAAATCTGGGGTGCTTTATCCTACAACTATAGTAATATTTAAAAAATAGGAAAGAAATGTTCCATAACAGAGGGATGGATTAGTAAATTATAATACATTGACACAATGAAGTATTAGCCATGAAAATGACTGACAACTATGGGGATATATGAAGAACTGTGTATAATTTAATAAATGTAAAAGCAAAACACAAAATGGTATATATGCTATGACTACAATTATGTAAAATATATAGTCATAAGCAGAGACTGGAAGTTAATATACAAAAAACAGTGTTTGAATTGAGATTAGAAATTATATCACTTCATATTTTATATAAACTATAGTTATACAGTTTGACTTTCTAAAATCAGCTATTTGAATCAGTGTGTGTGTATATATGTGAGTGTGTACTCTCTCTGTATACAGTAAAATAAATTTTTCAAATACCTTTCTGTTGTAATAACTCTGATGGCTGTGTAACTGAGGCTACAGGCTCAACTGGGCGATTTGCAGCAGGAGGTGTTCTTGTTGATGAGGCTCCTGACAAAACAGAGGATACGACTGGGCTGGACTTGAGAGGCTGAACATTTTGCATAACAGGACAAGATAAAGAATCTGCAACTAAAGACAGAAAACTATTTCATTCACAGGAATCAACTGGAAAGACATCAAAATACTAACAAAATACAGTTTATATGAAGTTCTTGCAGAAACTTCAGTAGCATCACATATATCTAGTATTATATAGAGAAAATAAGGTGGTTCAAAGACATGATTTTAAGAAAAACTGGAAACTTACCAAATGTTTTAATAATCTTTAATGGCAACTTTCCTAAAACATCTCATAAACTTCCTTACCTTTTTAAACAAAATGAATCCCAGTTTTACTTTACTAACCATCACTGCTATTAATTCATTATTGTACTATGCAGTGGTACCTAAGATAAGATGAATAGAGGTTGTTTCTGCATAATGTCCACGAATTCTCGTTCAAATGTTTCCAGTATCAGCTCAGATCCCGTATTTTATTACAAACTGCCACATCTTATTTGCTGCTGCTAATCAAATGCTGTATTTCACATATAGCTAAGTAAGGACTCAACGGTAACACTAGGTTGGACGTCTGGAATAAAGTACTTGTGATTCACAGTGGGTCTTTTGTGATAGGTCAAACTGCCTGATTTGGAGGATAATCTTCAGCCAACCAAGAGGTAATTAAAAACCCATGGCAACAGCCTATCCATCAAGGGTCCACTGATGGATAAATGGATAAAACACACACACACACACACACACACACACACACACACACACACACACACACTATTCAACCATAAAAAAGGAAATCCTTCCACTTGCAACAACAGGGATGGACCCTGAAGGTATTATGCTAAGTAAAACAAGTCAGAGAAAGACAAATAGCACATGATCTCACTTGTATGTAGAATCTAAAAAGCTGAATTCATAGAAACAGAGCAGAATGGTAGTTTCCAAGGCCTGGGTGGTTGGGGGGAAGGGAAATAGGGAGACAGTGGTCAAAGGGTGTAAACTTTTACTTTTCTTTTATTAAAGTACAGTTGATATACAATATTGTATTAGTCTCAGGTGTACAACATAGTGATTTGACAATTATATACAGTATGAAATGCTCGCCACAATAAGTGTACTTACCATCTGTCACCATAAATTTTCAGTTTTAAGATGAGTAAGTTCTGGGGATCTAATGTACAGCACAGTGACTACTGTTAACAATACCTGAAAGTTGCTAAGACAGTAAATCTTAAATATTCTCACCACACACACACACACACACACACACACACACACACACAGGTAATTATGTGAGATGATATGGATATATTAACTAACCCTACTATGGTAATCTTTTTGCAGTACATATATATGTCATGTCAATCATCACATTGTACATCTTAAACTTAACACAACGTTATATGCCAATTATACCTAAAAGTTAAGAAAGGGGTGCCTTGGTGCTCAGTCAGTTAAACATCTGACTCTTGATTTCAGCTTAGGTCATGATTTCACAGTTCGTGAGATTGTGTCCCATGTAGCCTGCTTGGTTGTGATTCTCTCTCCCCGCCTCTTTGCCCTTTCCTGGCTTGTGCGCACTCTCTCTCTCAAAATAAATACTTAAAAAAAATAAAAGGGGGGAACACCCTATGACAAAAAGACTAGTGAGCAGTGAAAATATATCTATACATATGCATACACGTATGTATGTTTAAACATGTATAATGTGTCTGTGCCTATATAGACAAACTTAGAATGTGTAAGACCTAAACAAATGTAGGAATATGGTGACAGAACAAAATATGTTATATGTTGGGGTACCTGGCTGGCTCAGTTGGAAGTGCATGTGACTCTTGATCTTGGAGTGGTAAGTTCAAGCCCCATGATGGGGATAGAGATTATTTAAAATAAACAAAAATTTAAAACACACACACACACACACACACACACACACACACACACACACACACGTTATATGTCCCATAGTGTATAAATGATATAAATGTGGGGAATGGGGAAGAAGGTGGAAGGTAGTCTAAATGTGTTATTACTTCATCATTTTTAGGAAGGACAAACGTCATTGTGGGGAACTGAAAACATGGTCACAATATGTTACAATTCTTCTCATTAAGAAATGGAGTCTATTTTCCCTCTCTCTGAATTAGGACTAGCCTTGTGACTGACTTTAATCAACAGAATGTGACAGAAGTAATGCTATGCAAGTCCCAGAACTCAAATCTCAAGACACCCTGTAGCTACCCTGGGACTATCATGTAAGGAAGTTAGTTAAGTGTTGAAAAACCTAGGTACCCCAGTGAACTATTCTGCACCAACTGCTGGACACATGAGTGAAGTCCTAGGATCTTCCAACTCAGCCAAGCCTCTAGCTAAATGAAGACACACGGGTGAGTCCAGGAAAAACCTGCAGAACTATCCAACCCACAGACCACAAAAAATAGTAAGCCATTTTTGTCTTAAACCAGAATTAGATAACTGATGTAATCACTAAAACTGCTAACATAACAGAGTGATAAATATAGTTAACAGTACAAAGGGAAAACTAAGATACAGTCATCTAATATTGGGTGACAGAGAACAGAGAAGGGGGCATGAAGACCCAGTAAATAGGCTAGTTTTACATTAGCTTGTGGTAGGTAATTAAAAGGTACTGTCTAAAAAATGGAGAGGATATTTCTGCCTCAGTAAGGACCAAACCTCCCATTAAAGATAACTTTAAAAATACTTTTTAAAAATTATCAAAGACCTAACAGGATATTAATGAAATTCCAGGCCCAAATCTGTAAGAAATTAAAAACTCAGAAAAATAGCTAACACTCAAAGCTGCTTGCACACTGTGGATATCTGCTACACACCTGATCTGTTTTCTGTGGACTTGCAGAGGCCAGGGCACACCAGATGGGGTACCTGATAAGGTACCCATACTTCTACTTTTAAGATAGTACTCTGAAGGGTTATAACTTTAGGATAAGGATAAGCCAGGAATCTAATCCTTATAAACACAAGGAGCTTTGGTTCAGATCATTCATAGTCCAGGAAATCAAGAGGCCTGGAAATGAATTAGTGCAATAAGCTGGTAGTACCCAGAGGCACTTGGCAGAAGGAAAGAAAAAAACCTCTATGGAGAACAATTCCATCATCCTAGGCCTCAAACGATTCCCACAATTAATTTTTCAAAAGCAATTTTCCAAGCACAAAGTCAAAGATAAGTAATTTTAAACAGGGCCCCTCTCTGTTCCGGAACGTTACAGCCAGTCTCCAACCTGCTTAAAATCCTTCAGAATTCTGCCAGTGCTTCGGGGTGAAGACAAAACATCTTACCCTCAAAACTTTCTAACATGGTTAACAAGGCCTGGAATGATCCTAAGTCCCTAGCCTCACCCTGGCCTGTGCTTCTCCTCTAGCTTCACTGCTCTTCTTCCAGTCCCTTGAACTTGCCATGCTCTTTCCCATTAAAGAGGAATAAATTCACTCCTCGCTTTGACAAACTTTTTTCTTTAATAAAACAGTTGGTATAGATAAGAGTTTATGTGATACATCTGTGCATATATACATATACACATATATAAAAACATAATAAAATGCCCATGAACTCAGCATCCAGTTGTGAAAATAAAATATTTCCCAAACTGCTGAAGCTATCAGTGTACTCCTCACGGAAGTCCTCCCTCCTGAATTCTGTTTATTATTCCCTTGCATTTGTTTTTAAATAATTTGCCACACATACAAGTATTCCTAAACATTTTTTTTGTTTGCTTTTCAACTCGGTAACAATATCACACTACATACGTTGGTTTTATTGAATTTTTTTATGAATGTCCAAGTCTGTGTTTCTCCCCTGCCTTCCCAGACTTGTGTGGCCAGCTGGAAATGTCTGGTTTGTGTTCATCTCTCCCTCATTTCTGAAGCAAAAGTTGAGACCCCACCACATCTCCTATGCTCTGCATCCATGCCTCTTTTGGACATTAAAGGTCGATTAATACACCAAACACACACACAATCCATTTGATGAAGAACCAACGAACCAACATAAAAAAAGCAGAAGCACAGCCATAAGTCCAAGAAAAAGCCAATCATAAAGTTCTGGAGACTCTGCAAGGCTGACAGTATTTCCGTTTATTTGTTCTCTGTCCTCTTGGACACACAACATATCCTCCATATATTTCAGTTGAGCCATTTTTAAGTAACAGGGTCTTCCCATGATAAAGTCCACGACTTCCTACGTTAAATTTCTGGGGTCCACTCAGGTTAATGTGTGCAACCGTATATGACATTTCCACTTCTGTTCGGTAGTCCATTGGAATGATATAACCTATCCATTCTATTATACTGGCTTTTGGGTTTCCAATTTTTTGTTTTTACAAACAGTGCTGCTATAAATATTCTTGAACATGTCCCTGGTGCAGATATGCAAGTTCCTCTAGGGCAGAGCTTCTTAAGGTATGAACTGTAGGTCAAAGGGGCGTAGGTGTGCAGCAAGAGACTCAGAATCCCCTTAGCCCTGAGGGAAGCCTGTGGGAAATAAGCTCTTTTGGCCTAGAGAGCACAGTAGTCCTTTTCAGCCCAGTATCCCAAACAAATGTCATCATTTCCTAGAAGTGCCACACATCTAAAACAGGATGTGGTAGTCTAGAGCCTTCCATTCAAAGTGTAGTCTCTAGGCTGGCAACAGCTCACATAGAAACTTAATGAAAATGTAGAATCTTGGACCAAGCCATACTAGACTTGGTGAATCAAAACCTGCATTTTAACGAGAGTCTAGGTGACTCATTGCATCAAATTTTAGAAATGGAATCACTGCATTTAGGGGATGGCTATCTTCAATTCCACTAGTGCCAAATTTTCGTAAAATAGTGAACCAATAAATCCTATCAACAACGGTCTTCCTGTTACTCCACACCCTTGCCATCCCTTGGTACGGTCAGACTTTCAAATTTTTACCATTCCACTGCTAGGTATAAAAAGATATCCCATTCTATGGAACACCTGAGTGGCTCAGTCAGTCGAGCATCTGATTCTTGATTTCAGCTCAGGCCATGATCCCAGGGTTGTGGGATCAAGTCCCATGTTGG